TAGAAGCTTGCGTTCTGCAAGTGAACGTCGCTTTATTGTGCCATCTCAAAGAGACACAAAATCACTTTCACAGACGTTTTCATTAACTGTTCCCTCCTGGTGGAGTGACCTGCCTACTTGTTTTTCTTTATGTATATATATATATATATATATAAATACCTTGCTACGTGTACTGTGTTAGGCAAACCGAGACATGTCATTTGCACTTACATATTGTTGCTCTTTTGTTAGTTTTGATTGCTTCTGTTGTCCTCATTTGTAAGTCGCTTTGGATAAAAGTGTCTGCTAAATGACTAAATGTATATGTAAATGTATGTATGCAAGTAAAGTTGGATGTACAATATATGTAGAGTTCATTTGAAAAAACAGATATCTGTTATCAATAACTAAAATGTTCAAAAATCATGTTTTTTTTATTATTATGCATTCCAATTAATATCAATCAAACAGCAATTGGGTTGTTTTGATTAAATAATAATAATTATATATTGTTATACATGAGTCTACTATATGTGAGTAGGTAAAAAATGACATACTTATACTAGTTGGAGTTATAAATTGCTTATTTATTTGGAGGTTGGACATTTTTTTTTTTATGTTGTGATATTGAGCATTATGAAACCTGTTAGGCCTTGTTCAGTTTATAACTATTTGTATGACAACTCTATTACTGTTTGATGTGTACCTAAATGTTAATCAGTTAAAATTAGAAAATGTTTCTAAATACTTTCTTCCAAATTACCACAGTTTAGTTTATACCAAATATTTACTCTATAAATATATAGTTCAGTGTATTATTTTGAAATAATTACCATATTTGGCTGTACATTATCCTTTACTTTAATATATTTCACTTAAAACAATAACATTTTTGGCTAAAAAAGACAGAGCAGGATTCATCTGCCTGAGACTTGGGGCAATTACCACAACAAGAATACTGTGACTGCTATTAAACCACCACGAATAAAGACAGCAAGTTACACACTCAGAGACTCGAGGTGGCCAAACAAATAGAAAGTAAGCGAGAAAGAGAGTGTTTTCTCCCTAAGGATATTGAATGGAAACTACTCGTTTGGCCTCCTCAATTGGTAAAATAACCACAGCCTGAGGGTCTGTGAAAGAAAGAGAGCCAAACCAACTCCATTTCCTTAGGGACCGACTGAACTGACTCCCCCATTCTGCCACTAGCTGCTTTCCTTGAAGAAACCTCCAGCTCTCTGAATAGTCTGTGTGTGTGAGTGTGTGTTAATTGAAAGGTTTTGTCTAGTGCTAGTGAAGCATTAGGTCTGACCTACATTTATATGTCCCCATAAAACCAGGCCTAGCAGACGGCCAGACACGGCACACTTCAGGTAGCTGCATACTAATCTAAGACATTCCTTGCATACTTCAGACACACACGGAGGCAAAGGATCGTAGATTCCAACTGTATGACATCATTTCCTGTGCCATAATGAAGTCAGCATTAAGCTAAAAAGAATGGATGAGTTGGGAACATTTGGAAACAGTCAAGACAATGGCACATGATGCTGGAGTTTAAACCAATGATGACATGTCTTAAAAATGGTGATATTAAATAATAAATACTTGTATCTGACATAACGGATATTTGATTCTCTAGAAAACTTTGGTTGAAGTCTGTGATAAGCAAACTTTCTCAAGGCAGAAGAGGGACAACTATATCAAGAAAAAACAAATCTGTAACGTAGCAGCACTTTCAGCCCCAAAGACAGAACGATTTATATCTTTATGAACAAAATTACATCAAACAGAAATGATAATAAACACAGTTCATCTGCATTTGTAAAGTGATTTACAATAGGTTACTAAACATCTCTGAACAAAAAACCCAGAGAGACACACCTGGATTTCAAACAAAAAGTACCACCCAGAGGTGCGTGTACTCTTCAGGTGTGTTTCGTTTGGTTTTTGTAATACTCGATAATGTCAAATCGCACATCGTTAAAACAACAATTACGATATTATCACAGACGATATATATCGCACACCCCTAGTCATCAGCTTCATACATCGCAGTGAAATGTTTTCCGTTAGGTTTAATTGACATGTTTATTCACAGACAATCTACAATGCAATGCTGAAAACACACGCCGTGTGTGGTGCTGGAGGGCTCTGGACGCCTGGCGGACGTCATCGCTTTTTGGACATTGTATTGTGGTAGTAACATGATATTCTTTGAAGTATAAAACTATGGCATATGAAATGCGATAATTAAATTTAGTACCATAGTATACATCAAAGTATTGGTATTACCATCAAATACCATCTACCATGGGACAGTCCATCTCCAGTTTTATGATCAATAAACGTCCTCAAAACTGATTTATAAACTTTCAACAGACCAGTGTAAATAACAGAACGGTGGCCAGTGAATAGAATAGAATAGAATAGAATAGAATAAAAGTAAAATGGCATATCAAACCTCTTTATATATCAAAAAGGTATCCATATACTTTTGAATGTAAATAAATCAAATAACTAGGCTGCTACCAAGTTAACAGAACAGCAGCAAAGTAAACAACTATTTACATGTCTACAAAACAAATTGATATACTTTTAAATGTAAATTAATAAAATAACAACTACTACCAAGCTAACTACTACCAAGCTAACAGAATTAAACAGAATTGCAGCCTGAAGTAAAATGGCAAAGTAAACATCTCTGTAGAAGTCTACAAACGGGATCTATATACTTTGACTGTTAGAATAGAATAGAATAGAATAGAAGTGCAACAAAGAAAGAAGTGAAAAGCAAGTGCAGGTTTCTCTCTGGTTGTTCAGCTGATAATCGTAAGGTCATTAGTACAGACCAGGACGAGCGCAAATCTCCCCTCCAGCTCGGCCGGCTCGGGCATGGGCAGTTTGAGGGGCATGTGGTGTCCTCTGGGGTCAGTGTGTTGGTTCATGCTCCCTGCGTTCCCCATCTCTCCTCCAGTATCGCATTCACACTCTTATTCTGCGGGTTTGTCCTGTATGAGTCCGGTCTCTGTTATCACTGTCTGTGCGACTTTATCTTGAACACTTCATGGAGGTCAGCGGCAGCAGCAGGGTCCGCGCGCAGCTGCATTATAACTTCACACAAATAACGTGTCATATTTGCATATTGCACAACGTCCGCACTACTCCCAGTGAGCTCTTCTGTTCTTCATGGTTCAGACTCTGAAACGCACTTCAGCGGACCACGACAGGCGCTGGCGCTTCAACTCCGCCCCGCGAGCGCAGTGACCCACCCTACCACAGCGAAGACTTTGCTCATGAATTATACATGAGGTTCGCTTGGTAGCTGATTGATTGAATCATCGTAAAAACATTGTCAGCAGTCCTTTGAATTAATGATTTATAGCCTATTTACAACATGCGCAAATAAAATAGATGCAGTTCAATAGTTCTCTTCGCTCTCTTTACTTTTTACAGTGAGCAATAACATTAGGCTACAGAATAGACAGCAAACAAGGGAAGAAAAACACGCCAGGGGAATTAAAATTGCACAAACAAGACAAAATTTAAAATATGGTACATAAATGATTAAAACACACTGCTCACACATTTTTTAAACAGCTTGAGGAAAGATAGAAAGAGACACCTGTGGAATCATCAGTCATCAGTCACACATAGTACCCATGCAATTTAGCTTTAAAAATCCTTATTCTGTATTCTTAATTTAATTTAATTTAATTTAATTTAATTTAATATAGCCAATATTTAAAAACATAAACTGTTCTTGCTGGGTCAGATGTATTAAAATAAAATAAAATAAAATAAAATAAAATAAAATAAAATAAAATAAAATAAAATAAAATAAAATAAAATAAAATAAAATAAAATAAAATAAAATTAAATTAAATTAAATAAAATTAAATAAAATTAAATTAAATTTCACTGTTGTGTCTTTATAGCTCACAATTGCTCCCTTATATTGTCTCCAAGAAGAAAAAGTATTTACATTTAAACATACATTTGTTAAAAGTGAATTTGGGCAACTCTAGCACTCATAGATGGCTACACCGTTTGCTAACTACTTACTTAAAGTCCCCCTGTAGTCAAATACTTTATCCCTTAAAACTTATCTTTGATCATCAAAATGATATATTAAAATGTTTTTTCTTGTGAAAATAATTTTCTCATGCCTTAAAATAGCTTGAATGTAACTCTACACCCTTGCCTCATTTACTATACGCTGATCTATGAATATGCAAATTAGTCCCGTGCCCGCGAGCATACGCGTGTGAACTCTGGGCTATTTTACACTGTTGCCACGGGTTATAATGCAAGTTAGCGGTTCTAAATTCACATTAAAAACTTGATTTTCACTACAGGGGGACTTTAAGTCTTTACAACGATCCTGTCATCGTTAGTCACCATTAATGAGTCATGTGATAATGTATGGTTAAATGCACATAAGTGTCACATTGACACAGTAAAATATTTCTGTACTTTCAGACACATGAGTGCTAATGCATTGTTGAGCTCCATATGCGGAAGGAGAGACCAGGCTTCATACAAAAGAGAAAAGGGACACAGGAAGCCCACAGCTGCTGAAACCGAAGACGCTGAGGGAGACCCTCAGAGGCCCAAAGGCACTACAAGGACTTATAAAATGCCAAAAATAAAGGAGGAAGAATAAAATCTCTGTTGCAGGACAGATGTTGCTAAATTTGTCTGTGAGCCAGATGAAGGAAGCAATGTTCTTAAAGTCCATACAGAGACACAAAACAGAGACCACATTGTACTGAGTGATGATTCCACTCATTTTAAACCATGTTTGCTGTGACACAGACAGGAGTTGAACTTATTCACATTCAGTCTCCCATTTCAAAATCAACAGTGGGGCCTGAAATGTTGTGTTGATTACACGTCCTCCCAGTACTGGGTTAAAGTCTTGTCTAACTGTTGCAGAATTGTAGCACAAAAGCAGTGTTAAGTCGCTGGGGTATATTTGTAGCAATAGCCAAAAATACATTGTATGGGTCAAAATTATCGATTTTTCTTTTATGCCAAAAATCATTAGGATATTAAGTAAAGATCATGTTCCATGAAGATACTTTGTACATTTCCTACCATAAATATATTAAAACTTAATTTTTGATTAGTAATAAATGCATTGCTAAGGACTTCATTTGGACAACAATTTTTTTGCACCCTCAGATTCCAGATTTTCAAATAGTTGTATCTCGGCCAAATATTGTCCTATCCTAACAAACCATACATCAATGGAAACCTTATGTATTCAGCTTAATGTGTAAATCTCTCTTTTTTTTTTTTTTTAAATGACGCTTTGGGGTTTTGTGGTCCAGGGTCACAACTGTTTTATGTCCAAAATATCTTGAGACAAGACATTGAATTTATAGTTGTGACAACACAGCGCCATCTGGCGAAGAGTGTGCTGTTAGTTACCTCATAGAACGGGCCTGTTTTAATTTAAGACTCGAAACAAAGGTGAACTTAATGCCCCTGACTATACTTCAGGATGTCTCCAATCCTAGAAAGTAACAGTGACCAAAATATGAAAAATACGGGGGGAAAAAAGTGATGTTCTGTAATAGACAAAATTTCCCAACATTTTTTTTTTTTTTGATGTTGTAGGACATGATGCGTTTTAATTTTTACTCTTCATTTATTTTGGAATTAGCTTAGTAAAATAACATTTTAATTAATTGTGTCCTTTAATATTTTCCTTAGTTGTGTAAAAGCAGCAAGGATGCACTGGATTATGACTGTCATACATTTTTTTAACAACTTTCAATGACTCTGTTTTTTAAGTGAGCACAACAACTTACAGTGTTTGTGATCAAAATGTATTCTTTAAAAGTGAATAACTACATTTGTAGTGTTCTCATTACAATGCAATCTGCACTTTATCAAACGCGTATATATCTAAAAAACATTTCAAGAAATATAATCCACAGACATTCCTAATCAAATAAACATACATTTAACACGTGTCTCCAAATATCTGTTGAGTGCTGCTACTGTGACAGATGGTGAAAGAGGAGGAAAACGTCTCCAAACAAAAACACACAACCTTACATGAGTTTGCAGTGCTTAAATAAAGCTGTCGTAACAGCTCGGCTCACACAGTCACGAGCGATGATCATCACACAAACACACATGTGAGTTTAGAAATGTTTGGTTGGAGTAAAACATGACAATGAAGAATGTGAGTAATATTGATGTCATGTGATGAACAAATCTGATATCTGGCTGTTGCATAAATACAAAAAGAACAAACTGGAAGTGCAATGAAGGAAATGCAGCAAAAGGTGATCTGAGGTCTTCATCATCCTCATCATCTGAAAGTCCGAAAGACAGGTGTAAAAGAGAAACGTGACAAAAGAGGTTGTCTTCTACTCTTCCTCCTCCTCCTCCTCCTCTCGTCCCATCACCTCCACGATGAGTTCGGCGGTGCAGCTGGCCTCCCCGACGCTGTTCATGGCCTTGCAGGTGTACTTTGCGTCATCATCACCGCTGACCTCAGAAATAACAAGACTGCAATTTCCATCTTCGTCATAATCGATCTGAAAATGGCGCGTCTCTTTAATCGGCTGGTCGTCCTTATACCACACCACCTCAGGGTCAGGATAACCTGAGAGTAAACAGTTACAAAATATGCATATTGAAATATATAAATAACTTAAAATAAATGCATGAATACCAACCAATCATGTGACACTGAAGACTGGAGTAATGATGCTGAAAATACAGCTTTGCATCACAGGAATAAACAACTTTTTTTTTTATATATTCAAAAAGAAAACAGTTATTTTAAATTGTAATATAATTTCATAATATTACTGTTTTTACTGCATAAGAGAATTCCTATTAAAAACATTAAAACATCTTACCAGCATAAACCTTTTAATAGTACTATTACAGTAGTATACTGATGAATTGGATTTTTTACAGTAATTTACTGTAAAACAGTACAGTTTGCAACTGTAAACCAAATACAGTTTGCTACTGTAAATCTTAATTACAGTAACTTACTGGCAACAGTGTTGCCAGTAAGTTACTGTAAAAAACCCTTTGAAATGTCTAACAGTGTAGTGCACTTAAAGATGAAGTGTGTCTATGCCTCTAGCGGCTCTAAATATAATGCAAAAGTACAAAAGGATAGTAGAAAGTGGTTTTTTTTCACATTTAGTTTTCATTTAGTTTTCAAAAGTAAATGCTATTCATAATATTTGTAGAACTGGAAAATGGTTGTGGGCTGTTCCACACATTTGGTACAAAGTATTAAGCATATTGGAAAGTCATCGTCAACATTTTAAATGTTATTTCACACCACATTTATTCACATTTAATCAGTGCACCAGACTTTATCAATAGAATGTTTAAGCAGTACATAGTCGTATTATTTTACCTTCGATTCTGCAGTCGAATCGAGCAGCACTGCCTTCCACCACCTCAACGTCTTTAATAACATTACTGAACGTGGGTTTCATTAGAGTTTTCTCCTCCAATTCAGCAGAAAACTGTTTATCCTCTGCTACGACAGACAAACAAGAAGGTTTTGGATATAAATACTCATGTTAAAGACTTTAAATTTACTTTTCACAACTCGTTTTAAACCTAGGGAAGAGTGCAGAACACCACTTTTAATACAATACACATAGTATGATAACTCTCTAAAGTGGGCTGCAGTTTTAACAGTACTAACCAGGTTAATAATCTCATCTCCTTGTGAAATAGAGGTACATTTCAGCATACTTAAAAATAAAATAATAGAAAATAATAAATCTTACAGTAAGTGTGAATTGAATGTAATGTTTTCAGACACTTCATTGCATGTTGTTTAAAATTAATTGTAAATATTAAATGCAATTAGAGTACTTACTAATCTCATAATTGTGACCCTGGAGCACAAAACCAGTCTTAAGTCTAATGTCCAATACATCGTATGGGTCAAAATTATAGATTTTTATTTTATGCCAAAAATCATTAGGATATTAAGTAAAGATCATGTTCCATGAAGATATTTTGTAAATTACCTACCGTAAATATATCAAAACTTAATTTTTGATTAGTAATATGCATTGCTAAGAACTTCATTTGGACAACTTTAAAGGCGATTTTCTCAATATTTTCATTTTTTTGCACCCTCAGATTCCAGATTTTCAGATAGTTGTATCTCGGCCAAATATTGTCCTATCCTAACAAACCATACATCAACGGAAAGCTTATTTATTCAGATGTATAAATCTCAATTTTGAAAAATTGACACTTAAAAGGGTCATATGATGCTTTTTTAAAGATCATTATTTTGTGTATTTGGTGTAACAGAATATGTTGACTTGAAATTGCATCATATGACCCCTTTAAGACTGGTTTTGTGGTACAGGGTCACAAATATGGTTAAAGTGCCTTGCTGAACGTACTGATAAGCATGTAAGGTACACTAAAATATAATTTAATGTAATTTCTATTAAAAACTTGTATGTCATGTATTCAAATATATTCGTAATTACACATTTATAATGAATAAACTGTAATTAGTAAACAAACTGTAAAATGATGAAATACATTTCAAATATATTTTAAAATTCTGAACAACACTACAGTTAAAATTATAATTACATTAACAATCTAAGTACTTACTTTACATGTGCAATAGATAGTATAAGTAGTATACTTCTTTAAAGCATGACATAACATTATTAAAATATGATTTAAAATGTACTAAAATCTAAAAATGTCTTGTGAATTGAATTTCAATTGTTTGTAATTTTATTAAAAGTGCACGTTTTAAAAGCAATATTAAGTATATTAAAAAAACATGAAAGTATGCTCTACGCTTAAGTGGTCTTCTATTTCATTAATATTATAGTACAGAAAATGTGACATTATCTTAAGATTGACATATGCAGTACACAAGGACACATATTTTCAGTACGCACACTTCTTCATCCCAAGGGCTTACTGTGCTGACAGTTCACTAGCTGAGTCAGTATTAGTCTTTTATGCAAGGGTTGGTGAGGACAGAAACGTTGTGCACCTTCAGTGGGGGAGCTCTTTTTGGCATGAACGCCTGCCATCAATGCCATGTTAGACAGTCGACCGATAGCTCGAACCGCATGCCCTGTTTTCTGGAGAAGAGTGAGCAAAGCATTTATGACTTTATTCACTAACACATCAGTAACAGAACACACCGCAAGAAGCTAATTTCAATCAGACTATCAATAACGCAAGGAGAAAAACCAACATTTTATGTCAGATGATTATCATTTAGCTCCTGACCTGCCACTTTCTTCTCAGAATGTATTTCTTCATCCTCTCTTTGGAAAGCTTCTTGGTCTCCATATTGGTGGTGTCCTGTTTGAGCCAGGGGTGCTGGAAACACTGATCGCAGCTCAGGCGAGCTCTGCAGACAAAAACACACACAGACACCGTAACTGTGCGTCACGTTAATTACACTCTGAGAAAAATAAACTGATGAAACCGTAAAAAGAAAATGCATGATCTCTGACAGAGAACCGAACCCTACTGCTGCACCTCAGGGAGAACCGATGCGTGACGCAAGACGGAGGAAATCAGCTAAATCAGACATTCAACATGACTCAAGGACAAGGCAACAGTTCTTTTTTTCAAGTGTTTTCTGAAGGCACTCACTTCATGTCTTTCTTCAGCAGGTTACTGATAAAGTCTTTGGCCTCGACTGAGATCTCATCAAATGCCTCGTCCTCAAAGTCCCACGTCGCTGAGGTCACGTTAGAAAGCGTCTCGTTGTCATTGTCCCCCATGAAGGGAGACAAACCACTGACGCTAAAGAGAACAAGAAACAATGAAAGAAGAACTATACAAACCATTAGGCGTATGCCTCATATAGTAGTATATTTGACACTTAAACACACAGTTACAACATTACATTTCTTGTGAGAGATTTAATCTGCTTCATTGGCAAATATGATCTGAGTCCACATGAATAAAGTCTTGGAGATATAATAGTTTATAGCTATTTTCTCTGTCGCACTGTTTTCCTGTAAACTTTATAACAAAAGTGTTTTTGGTAACACTTTATTTGTAAGGTGTCCTTGTTGCACATGTTACATGTACTTTTTACATGTAAAAAAGTCTGACTGTACATTATCTATACATTTCTGAACAGAACATTAACTAATACACGTAAAGGGTACCAAAATACTTTGGTATTTTCATATGCATTCATATTTGTATTAATTACAGATCGCATTATATTAGTGACTTGTAAATGATGGCTATTATAAGTTATAAATAAATAATTTTTTTTTGAAGTTGTAAATGTGACAAACGCTATTGGAGTATAAGAAAATACTATTTCAGTCTTTCTACTTCAAAATTTAATGTTTAAAGGCGTCATATGATGCGATTTCGGCCAATCACAATGCACTGATGTAGAAGCAGGCGTTGATCTTCCTCTGCGGAGGTGGTGTTTATCCACACTTTTACGTCATAAAGTGGCACATTCCACAAGCTGTCGTTTGGCTTCAATATAAGCTGTTTTTAGACTAACAAGAAAGTTTTTAGTTCTGAAACTTACAGGATGTTTTTATAGTACAATGACCTCTTATATGACAAAAGATCAAGAAAATTTTGATTTCTCAGTTCATGACCCATTTAAAGGAATATGAAATCAATATACTTTGTTCTGACACAAAACTAGCATAAACATGAAATATGTTTGTGTACTATCGAGGTATATTATACAACTGCTCAAGTTGTATAATATGCCTGTTGAGTTTGTTCTGTGTCTAAACCATTTACAGAGTCTACCTTCACCTCACACTGATCTTAAGAGTGTGTGTGGGTTTCCTGGCTGAAATGAAGTGTTTCTGGAGTGCTGCTAAACCTGAGCACTTCTGAGGGCCTGTGCTGTGACCTCTTTCAGTAGGACGGTGCAGAAACTCTCCAGGCCAGTGTGAAACATTGTAAATGTTTGGCCTGCAGGAGAACCTCCTTTAGCCAAGAACCGTTGATGTTAGTCTCAGCTCACATAATGTAGCGCTTTTTACTCTCAACACACACACACAGCTGTGAAATGGAATGTGTCGAGTATAAACACTACTGTAACACATTTAACCAAACAAAAAATCCACACAGTTAGCAGCTAAAGAGCAAGGCTGAGTCTTACATATGTACCACTTACCAGAACTACAGCTATTTGATTTATTACATGGTAATAACACATGTATTACATAAAAATGTAAAAAGATGTTATTAAAACTACCAAATACTATATTTCTATTTCCATATGCTCCTCCATATGAAATAAAAAAAAATGTTAACAATGGTCTTATTTTGGTCTGAAAATTTGAAGAGAAAAATCTTAGACAAAAGCCAGATTCAGACAGTAATTGTTTATCATGGGGATGCAAGCTATTTTTAACATTTACAGGGGTTGGTCTTTGATTTTATTGCGGTTCAAATCCAGAATGTTGGGGTTTTTTTCTCTCCACCCGCGCAAAAGCATTATCAGCATTATATTAAAAACATATCTATTTTCAGATTTTTAAACAGGAGATTTAATATTCAATTAATGAATAGGATATTATTAAATATGAATTTATTCTCATTATTCCAAGCATATGATATTTTTATTAAAGCAGATAATCATGCGACTGGCCATGTGAACAGCGCGGTCCTCATAGGATCATAGAACTCACAATAAATTGCCATCTGAATCCAAGTTTTATATTTATAAGAATCCGAGTTTTATTGCTGAGGTGCCATGTACATTTATTTTTACAGACGTCCACATGAGAAACAATTACCATCTGAATAGGGCTAAAGTTGATACTTAAGTGAGAACTAAATCAATGAAATTCATTAAGTCTATTATGAAAATATGAAAGAGCAAGTTCTGAGCCCTTAATAAGACATGTTTCTTGAGCACCAAATCAGCATATTAGAATCATTTCTGATTGAAAGGAAAACTTTTATTCAGTAAGGATGCACTAAATTAATAAAAAAATGGCAGTAAAGATGTTTCCATTGTTACAAAAAATAGGCTGTTTTGAAAAACTATTCATCAAAGAATCCTGAACATGCAGCACCAAACCCCCCCCAGAAAGAAGGATTGTGCCACATAACCCTCCAACATTGTCGCGCTCTCTGTCCTTCTCAAATGCAGGGTGCATGAGGTGATGGATGTAGCGTGATGTCACATTACTGCATAATAAATCACGGCTGTTCACTGCTGCAGCAACGTGCCTTAATATATATAAAATTTGCTAAACAAAAAAAAAAAGGAAATATTCTAATGTGTACTTTATAGATTACTTAAAGATTTCACAACAAAAAGACAACCTGAAGGGGGACTTTTGTACAATTATAGGCTACTAAAAGGCTGTTTACTTGTTAAAAAAGTATTTTTCTTCTTCTTTTTTTTTCTTGTAGATAATTTTAAGATCTTAGATATTTGCATATCAAACATGATGAAGTAGACATTGTTGGATTTACTGCTTTCACTGACTTCATTGGGTTACACTAACCCAAAGTCACACCGGGAAGAAATAATTATTCTGGATAACACTGGATAACTGACAGAAAGCACAGACAAACACAAGAGATCTACAGCCACATCTTTCTGATAGCTGATAAAAAAAAGACTAAAAAAAGATAACAAAATAGTACTCATTAGGGGCTGGTGTATTACTCTATTTTCTTAAAGAAAAATGGCAAACGCCTTGCAGAGGTGATTTCCATTTCAGGAAAGGAAAGCTAAGCGAAAGCTCACACTTTCTTCTCATTCAACTTCAACATTCTTCCCAAACAATGTTGTGAAATGGTGTGGGATGATCACCCTTGTGGAAAAGAAGTGATCTTAACTGTACCGCATGTGCACTTGTCTTTTTAAATAAAACTGTACTTGCAAAAAACATTATAATAATGAAAACGTCACGACTATGTTTCTTAACCCATTTAAGTACACTTTTTTAAACATGCATTTTGTAATAAAGCCAAATTTACGTTTTACTTTTAAAGTACATTTTAAATCATTGTTTTAATAATCTGTTGTTGTGCCTTAAACAAGTACACTTATTTTGATGTGTTGACTAACATACTAAAGCACATGTAAAGTACTCAATTATAATATCAACTATAGTGTGTTATAGGATATTATATTTAACGTTAATTCAGTTAAAATGTACTAAATTGCAACTTCAGGTTTGTATAGAAATGACATTAAATTATATTTTAGTTTACCTTAAATGCTTGTCAGTACATTTGACAATACACTGTAAATATATTTCAAAGAAATCAATTAAATGTCTGAAAACAGTTACCAATAGGAGTGTAGTACTCTCAGCTCATGTATGCATTTATTCCACATAATTCTGCAGATTTTACCCCAAGATCAGCACGAAAAATTGCACAAAATTGAATTGCATATAAAATGGGATAAAGTCTGCAGATTTCATGGTCATAAAGGTAATATCTCTTCATAATGGTTGTGTACTCACAGGATGTAGCAGATGACTCCTATACTCCACATGTCTGTCGTGTAACTGATGGCCTCATAATTAATCACCTCTGGAGCCACAAACTCTGGGGTGCCAAACAGGACTTTCAGAGAGCCAGCATTCTCTACAGCCAGACAAAGCACACACAACAACCCACAATTCCATCATTCCATTTTAGAACTATACATGATGTTAGAACTTCAATTTGAAATAAATACATGTTTTCAATGACATTTTCGAAATGTTAAAACCCCACAAAAACCCAGTGTGAGGGTTTTCTACTGACCCAGTCTGCGTGCCAGTCCAAAGTCAATGAGTTTGATTTTGCTGCCGGTCTTATTGACACACATGATGTTCTCAGGTTTGAGATCCAGGTGGACGATGCCTTTCTTATGGATGAAATTGACTCCATCCACAATCTGAAGCATGTATTTGATCACCTCTCTCTCCGTCAGCTCAAAGTCCTCGTCTATGATCCTCTCAAACAGCTCTCCTCCAGAGATCCTGAGGAACACCAGCATTCAGCCAATACACCAGACACATTCACATACCGTATGTACTGTGAAATACTGACAACCTCAAACAGGAATGTATTTATCCCCGATAAAACTCAATTTGAGTGCTATTTGACTTCATTTAGAAATTCTCTGGGATTTTTTCATCCTAGGACGTTCAGGAATCGAAATGGCATGATGTGCTTTGTAGTGACTAAAATGAACATGCAGAGCAAATTCTTATTTTACTGACTTTTCACTTACTGATAAAAATAGAAAGCTTTTTTTTTATTATTTTAGTATGAGGATGGTGTGTTCTAATAGTTAATGATCTGCAGGTAACAATCACTTAAAAGTGACACATTTTTGGCATATTGGAATTAAAACAATGTTTTGCATAACAGGCTGACATACTGTTACTTGACAATTAATAATTTCTATTACAATTATTAATTTCTGTTTAAGTATTTGTGTTATATAAATAAGTGCATAAAAATGTGTATTTGAAAACAACCACAATAACACTAAAATAATAACATTCTTTTTATTGAGCTGTTGTTTACAGGCTTGATATGAGCTGGTGAAAGCCAAAGAACTAGAAAACAGCCAATTTGCATTCACTAATCTAAGATTAAAGCTCATTAAACACATACAAACTTACATGTCCAGCACCATTACAATGTCAGTCTTTCCCTCAAAAGCGTCGACACACTGCACAAGCTTTGGGTGATGCAGGTCATTCATGATCGCTATTTCCTGTCTGACATTGTCTTTTTCTTTGGCAGAATATGCTTTTATGAATTTGCCAGCCCACACCTTTTTTGTGGACTTTTCTATCAGTTTGAAAACAGTCCCGAATTTCCCTCTAAAAAAAAGAAAGAAAAATAAATAAGACTGAAAAAATGAAAACTTCCAGATCCTGTTTTCTTACAGGAAATTTACGTCTGTTTTAGCATTTTTTTTGACAGATTATAGGACAACAGCAAAGTAGAAGGATGCCAGCAGTAAAGTTTCCTTTATGGTGTAAGGTAATATCAAATAATTGATGCTATTTTATCATACTCACGTGCCCAGTCTGTCTTCCACATCATACAGGTCCTTCACCTTCACATCTGTCCTGATCGTCACATTTCTGTAATGCGGTTCCTTCTCTGATTCTGAAAAGAGAGGGAATGGATCCCTATCATTCTGGATTGTCTATAATCTGTCAAATTGCAATATTTAACTCTTATTTTCCTCAAGGGTTTTGAAAAACCTTCCTGTAGTAATTCAGAATGAAATATCACATTCTAACAGCACACGTTTTATGACCTCTTTGTCTCTGATTACTAGCATGAGAGAAATACACATCAACATGATGGCAGTGTTTTTTGTAAAGATACCCCTAAAATTATTATTATTATTCTGGGATAATTATTTACAAAAAAGCTAAGGTAGTTCATTTTTATTTTTTTATTTAATTATTAAATGCGCTTATATTCATAAGGTCAAATGATTTGAAAAATGCCTATGTTTGAACAATTGAAGACATGTATTTGGAAACTAAAAGCAAACACTTGAAAATAATATGAACTATGCAATTGTTAAAGATTTACAGTGCAATGCTTTTCTGTATCCCCCCCACCCCTCTTTTTCACATACAGTATGTTCAATTTGACACGTTTGGTTATGTACAACCTCACCATCTCCTCTAAATGAAAGAGGGAAACAGAAAAAAAAGAGCACAGAAACTTGACACTTACGATTTCAAAGATTAAATTTCACAAACATGACACATACCATCATCTGAAGGCTCAGCTTCATCTTTATTTTCTGTAAAAGCAACAGACTGTTATTACAGCACATTTAATTTTTTTTATGTCAATTTTAGGTTTTACTTTATTTTATTTATTCGTCTATTTTTATTTTAACTGAAATAACCAAATACAGTAACCAAAAGTTAAGATTGTAATCCATTCTCTGTGGCTCCTGTAATACTCTTGATATCCTCTAGGTGGCGCTCACCCTCCTCGGCCTCCAGCCCCACCTGCACGGGTGCAGACTCAGCGCTGGGCTCTCCCACACCATAAATATTCACCGCTCGCACTCGGAACTTGTACTGCCTGTCTGGAAGCAGGTTCTGCACGTTATAGGAGGTGCTGTTACAGGACGCCAGATCTGTCCACTTCATGTCCACAGAGCTCCACGTCTCCAGGTTGTAGGACTGGACGGCGCTGCCGCCGTCGTATGTCGGCCCGTACCAGGACAGTGTGAGGCTGGACTTACGGATGTCTGAGGATGCCGGGACACGAGCAGGAGGGTCGGGCTTATCTGGGAAGACCAAGACAGAAGCTGGATTGTGAGACATTTTGTCCTAAAATGTACTAAAGTAGTCAGATCACCTACATGTGCAGCATTTCAGCCCAGCATTGTGTGGATGTAACAGAGGAAACAGTCAACTTTCTATAAGTAGATTGTCAATTTTGTCTTTAAAGATGCACCTAAAACCAAGGCTGAGGCCTAAGGTCAAATGTGACCCTGGAGCACAAAACCAGTCTTAAGTCGCTGGGGTATATTTGTAGCAATAGCCAACAATACATTGTATGGGTCAAAATTATAGATTTTACTTTTATGCCAAAAATCATTAGGATATTAAGTAAAGATCATGTTCCATGAAGATATTTAGTAAATTTCCTACCGTAAATATATAAAAACTTAATTTTTGATTAGTAATATGCATTGAACTTCATTTGGACAACTTTAAAGATGATTTTCTCAATATTTAGTATTGTCCTATCCTAACAAACCATACATCAATGTAAAGTCACAATGTATAAATCTCAGTTTTGAAAAATTGACACTTAAGACTGGTTTTGTGGTCCAGGGTCACAAATGTCAAAACCATTTCTAATCCATTAATGCCAGGCAGTACAGTTCTTGTTACTAAACACCAGTGGATATGATAGTGAAGCACACAGAGAGATGTGATGCCGCAGCATACTTAGAAACAGGTGTGGACTGGTTTGATTGCAGTTTGCAATTCATTCTCATTCATTTCTAAGATTTCTAGCCATGACTTGTTCTGTGAAATGATTGTGGAAGGCCATTTTTAAAGTCAATTGCTTTATGATTTTACACATCAGACAACGAATGTCTTTACACTCTAATAAACTGTTCCTCAAGGTGTTAATTTGTGAATTTCAACAAGGTGTGAATTTCATTCAGATATGAGGGACAGGGGTATTTCTACTGGCATTTAAAAAATACAAATGCATTACATATTTGTCAGAGTGCAAAAGTAAGCAACAGGGTTTATATTACAGTAAAAATTTTCGGTCTAATATCTATAATTGTCCAGTCTGCAGTTTCACTAACTACTGCCATCCTCAATACGAGGTGAGATTATCTATAGTCACTGTCACTGCTGTTTCATTCACAACATTTTTGATTTTTAATTTTCTTTTCAGAATTGTAATCAGCAAGTGGTAGACAACAATGAAGTATATTTACTTTATTATTGGACTTAAGTACATTTTAAAAGTATCTGTACTTATTACCACATATTGTTATTTTGAACTGATGATCTTTTCAGCTGCTAGTTTCGAATGATATAAAACTAGCATGTTTGCATGGCATTCCTGTTAACACATTCTTTCTTAATGTGAATCTGTAAATCTGTCAAAATCCGTAATTTTTGTCACTAAATATTTACACAAATTTTGCTTTTCCTCTGTTTAAATGTAGTTTTTTCAACCATTTGCAAACTTGAATTATCAGTAAACTAAATTGATGATATTTCATTAAGGGGAAGTCGTGGCCTAATGGTTAGAGAGTCGGCCTCGTAACCCAAAGGTCGCGGGTTCGAGTCTCGTACCAGCAGGGATTGTAGGTGGGGGGAGTGAATGTACAGCGCTCTCTCCCACCTTCAATACCACGACTGAGGTGCCTTTGAGCAAGGCACCGAACCCCCAACTGCTCCCCGGGCGCCGCAGCAAAAAATGGCTGCCCACTGCTCCGGGTGTGTGTTCACGGTGTGTGTGTGTGTTCACTGCTGTGTGTGTGCACTTTGGATGGGATAAATGCAGAGCACTAATTCCTAGTATGGGTCACTATACTTGGCCACATGTCACATCACAATTATAATAAAGCAATACATATTAAATGTCTGCACTGCATTTTTTATTGACTAGTTCTGGCGAAACATGGTTCTAGAACTTTTTGCATTTTATACTTAAGTCTATTAAATATCAAGTACTTTTGTTTGTTTAATCAAGTAAAAATTGAAAATGAGTACTTACAATTTTACAATTTTACTGGAGTAATATTTTATTAGGGTATCTGTACTTTTACTGGAGTACTTAATTGATGGTAATTTATTTATTGTACTGTACACATTTGTAGGGATAGATCGCTGAAATGTGTTTAAATCAACAGCTTAACTTAATGCCTCATGGGGCCTGTAAATAGTTTAAATAAATGTACAGGCAAAGCTAAACATTCTTGTAATGTAGTTAGTTCAGTATACTGTTCATATTATATTAATTAAAATGTAAAAATTCATGACGGTACGTTAAAATCTTCTAACAAATCTCATCTTGGGTAGAACTCATTCTTGTTGACAAATGCAATGTTTTTCAGTTGTTTGCAAACATGCTGGACACGCAGTAACCCGTCCTGTGCGAACACCTCCTTAATTTAGTTGGTATGTGAAAGTACATTTTTGTGCTTTATCAAATGTTGTGAAACTTACCATAAAATCACCAGTGTTGAGGGTAACGCATTACAAGTAACTTGAGTTACGTAATAGGATTACTTTTTTTCAAGTAACTAGTAAAGTAATGCATTCATTTTTAATTTACAGTAAAATATACTTTTTCAAATAAGTAACGCCAGTTACTTTGTTTTCCCATTTATGGACTAACAGCTCTCCTGTCCCCATGTTGAGAAAAATCTGTAGTAAGTGCAGAGGCGTTGTGTGCAATGTGTAAACACGATGGCTTCTGTAGCTTTAAATATGAACACGCAATTACTCATCTCACTTTCACAAAGACAGATTTAGTAGTCCTAAAAATGAAATGCAAACTCAGAATATGACGCAAACCTGCAATAATTAAATATGTTAACAATTGAATTAACAATTCCTTCAGCCTGAGGCTTATTTATTTCACTTTTGGTGTGAAAGGGCTTTGACATATGCCAAAAAATAACTTTTTATATAAAAAAAACATACAAGCAAGCCCAGTCCAGATGAGAAAAAGTAACCCAAAAGTAACACAACACAGTACTTTCCATAAAAAGTAACTAAGTAATGCAATTAGTTACTTTTTTAGGGAGTAACTCATTATTGTAATGCATTACTTTTAAAAGTAACTTTCCACAACACTCAAAATCACATTATACTTGTTGCAAATTATTGTTAATGTACATAATGCCTTTATCCTAGGCTGGAAGATTGTGTATTGTGCATCTTTTAGCACAACGTTTGTCTTTCTGTTCGTATGCTTTATAAAGCCTAGAGAGCTAATAGATCGCGCTTTCTCTTTCCGTTTGCTCTGTTTTGTCAAACACCGTATTTCATCGACGCAACTTTGTTAATTCCTTAAGTGAGCTTTATGTTAACTGTTTTTCTGAACGCTGCGACTGCCTTACATTCTTACTCTGCCCATGTATTAAATCTGCGTGCTTGAAAGCGTGCAGTTTTCTAACGTATTTACTTTAACTTCTTTGGTAATATCAATGGTATGGTTTCAGATGCGTCTGAAATGACAAAAACATATTTAATTGTTTGATCCAAATTATTGCTAAGGACAGTTTGGTAGTCACTGGATATTGGTAGGGACTTGTCCCTATAGCATCCACCCTAATTCTACGCCCACTAGCGTCCACACTTACCGACTATAGTGAGGTTGAGGGCGGCCTGTCTCACGCCGCAGCTGTTCTTGAGCTCGATGGTGTAGCAGCCGCAGTGCTCCTGCTGTCCTTCTGTGATGGTCAGCTGACTGCTGCTGTCTGTGCTCACTACCGAGATGCCCTGACCTTCCTGAATCTGAGGGAGCAGAGGTGTGCATAAACAACACAAACACCGGTGCCAGTTGCAGACATAGGCTACTTTAAACATTAGAGCATGCTAGTGTGATAAACAGTGCAAATTGTATTTAATATTGACAACATTATCTACAAATAACGCTTTTTTCACTCAAAAACTGATGTAAGATCAGATTAATGAGGCCTACAATGAATCAATAAACACAAAACCAGTCCAACAAACCAGTTCAAAACTAATTTCGGTAACACATTATTTTAGGGTCTCTTAACTACTTGCTTATTAGCATGCATATTACTAGAATATTAGCCATTTATTAGTACTAATTAAGCACATATTAATGCCTTATTCTACATGACCTTATTCTACATCCCTAATCCTACCAAATACCTAAACTTAACGACTACCTTACTAATTATTACCTAAATTTCTTGGTTAAACATTAGAGCATGCTAGTGTGATAAACACCGCAATTTTTTTTCATATTGACAAAATTATCCACAAATAAAAAAATATTTTTTTCACTCAAAACTGATGTAAGATCAGATTAATGAGGCCTACGATGAATCAGTTCCAAAAATAAACACAAGACCAGTCCTAATTGAAAGAAGACAAGCTGACAAAAAGATTGATACCAATATTAGGTGATAATATTGCATAACAAGAGATTTATAAGCTATTTTTTGTAGGCCGGTCATTTTTGACCGAAAACACCACAAGTGTGATTTTTATTTTATTTTTTTTGCAATTTTGTACAAAATAAAAGCTTTTCAAAACAAATTTATTGGTTAAACATTAGAGCATGCTAGTGTGATAAACACCGCAATTTTTTTCATATTTTAATATTGACAAAATTATCCACAAATAACGCTTTTTTTTTCCACTCAAAGACTGAGGTACGTACGCTCAGATTAATGAGGCCTACGATGAATCAGTTCCAAAAATGAACAAAAACAAGCCGACAAAAAGATTAATATCAATACTAGGTGATAATATTGCATAACAAGAGATTTCTAAGCTATTTTTTGTGCCCCAGTCATTTTTGACCGAAAACACCACAAGTGGTATAGGGATTTGAACACAACCTGAGAGTTGAATGTTCAGTTTCAATTAGAAAGTCAATTAACTGGAAAACAAAAATGAGAGTAATAAAGATGTTTACAACTAACATGTTGTGTCTGAGCCATGTGTACAGAGTGATATGCCAGCTTGCAGTGTTTGCTCATTAAAGATGATGGCTGTTTCTGAAAAGCTGTGAGCTGCCTAGACAGCATTTTTGAACATCCCAGTCCAAAGTCGATTTGAAATAGCAGCATGTTGGAAGCATTTAAAGGGGACTGGTGCGTGAGTGAATGAATGTGCATCTGCGTGTTTAAGTATGAGCATTCAGCAGTGCTTCTCTCTCGGTCAGGGTTTCTGCACATGCTAAAAGGTGAAAGGACTCTTACTGGTTTGCGGAACTTGAGCCAGGTGCAGCTGATGGGCTGAGCTCCAGTGAACTGACACAGCAGACTGACCTCCTGACCCGCCAGGATCTTCATATCGTCAGGGAACTGCTGGATCTGAGGAGGAGCACCTGACACACACAGCACAGTTATACAGACAGCTTGGGCTCTGATCCATTTGCTTGCACAGCAGTTAGAAATGCATTGAACAACTGCACAGCAGACTGTGTAGAAAATATAAAAGTGAGATTTAAAGTATGTGCTGCTATGAGAAGATCACCTGTGCTCCTCCTGAAACACATCAAATCACATGAGCTTGAAATTTTAAATGACTTTTGGGAAACTAAATGCTACAAAGACTTAAATGCTAAAACTGTTCCAGGATCAAACGTTTCAAAAACATCTGTGATTTGCCATAAACATGCTTCTTAGATGCACAATCTAAATCATCATTTTGATGGAGGAACTTCTGCTCATACATTGCAATTCTAATCAATCTTTGTCAGTAACTCAGTAACTTGGTATACACTGCAAAAATGACGTTCATACTTTTTCATTTTTGTCTTGTTGTTTTAGTATAAATACCTGAACATTCTTGAATCTTGAATATATTATTTGAGAAGCAAAATGACTTAAGATATTGAGTCTTGTTTTCTAAAAACCTAACAAAATGTTGTTGTTTTTTGCTTAAAAAATGAAAACAAATCTGCCTATTGGGCAAAAACAATAAATAAATCTTGTTTCCTCTTTGTAATTAAGATTATTTTTCTTACCTCATTGGTAGGTATTTTTTTTAGGTTACACTTAATTTTAAGGTGTCCTTATTACAGTGTAATTATACATTTAAGTACAGAGTAATATTAATTAACTACGTGTATTTACTATATAGTTAGGGTTAGGATTAGGGTTACTTGCATGTAAGTATGCATAATTTATTGTTATTATAATAGTAAGTACATGTAATGTGTAACAAGGACACCTTAAATTAAAGTGTTATCTTTTTTACAACAAAAAGGACAAAATTATTTTCTGTTGCAATCAACAGCATGTGACAGAAATACACACAGACAGTTGTTTAACCCAGAATTGATCTTTAAACCATGCATATGGTGATTGATTTGACCCTACCTTGTTTAGGAAGTGTTTTGGGTGTGGGTTTCTTTATTTTGGCCTCATCTGAAGTGAATAACAGAAGAAATAAACACCGTTCAGATTATCACATCATAGTTAACAGAGAGAAAGAAAATAAGATCAACATACAACCTCAGTCCAGAGAAGTGATTGTGAACCACCCAACAAATCAAGTTCTCTGGTGTAAATGAGCAAACATGTGTCATATTAATTCCAGGCTGCATCACAAGTCAGATATGGGGATTTATATTAATTGCCGTAATCATGATATTGACCAGCTGGCGGTACTTTATCCTTAATTAGTTTGCATTTGATATACCTTCAGGTTTCAAGTCACACAAACACACAAATGTTAACATTGACCAGTAGATCTACTCATAGAGTATCTGAGACAACATGCACTCTCACGTTTAGAAAACTTGAAGAAGGGAGGGCAGAATGATGAGAGAGATGGGGAGAGATGTTTTTCTCTGGATGTACTAGGAGAGATCAGCTGCTAAGGTTCTTTGCTCTTTGCCTTTTTTGGTCATACTAAAAATATCTCCAACTAGAATCCAGGAAATAGCTTTTGGCACTATTTATTTTACATCTGATCGCTGTCATGAAACAATGTGATGGCAAGGCCAACAAACACAAGCCTAGAGCTGCAGCGGTGGCAATGAAGCTATTCTGATCTGAAGCCATGTCAAACTTCGGAGGAGTTTTTCTGTCAGTTGTAAAGACATTCCAATCTCATCCCTCCATTCTCTCACTCCTTTCTCTCTTTCTCTGTAGCCGTGGAAAAGAAAACATCCTCTTTCCAACACAAAACTATTTTTGCTTCTGGCTCAAAATGGCCTTTCAGTGAGCTTTCACTTGAATCTCTAAAATTTGGGCAAAACAGATCTGAAGCTGAACTGAGATCATAATGGAGTTGATCATATCTACCTAACTTATAGTACTTTCATAATAAATCAATTGTAGCACAACAAATATAGTAAAATCTGCAGATATTCAACGCCTAAATAAGTCTCATATCAAGATCAATATAACCTGCTATTAAGAAAACCTACTGACTGTGAAATTTTGGATGCTGAGGCAATGTGATCTCATGGGTATGTTCACGTATTTTATGTAAATTGTGATTTTAGCACATGTGCAGAGGGCCCAGAAATATTTGGACACTAAAGTCACACTTAAAATATCTGAAATTCATTGAATTAGACACACATAGCGATACATAAATCAAAGTGGCATCTGTAAACAAATGATGCAAACGTTTTTTAAACTAACTTAGGTTTAATAAATGATTGGTGTCAGGGTAATTTTTTTTTGTGCAGGTATGAAGTTAGTTCTCCTCAAGTTAACTATAAACATTTTCCACAACGTTTGACACCCAGAAAGTGTCAAAGACATTGTCTTTGTTCTGAACAAAATATTTAATGTTTCATATTCTAAAACATTTTTTGTGCTATATTTCCTTAAAATAAAGCCACTTATTTTGATATTTTTGTTATTTAATGCAAATTTATTTATTTGTTTGGTTTGCTTGCTTGCTTAAGTGTCCAAATACATTTTAAATACATTTTGATGCCATTGCATAATGTATGTTTGCACAGACAATTAAAATTTAAATATTATATAACAGCATATGCCAATCACATTATTTAACGCATAACAAACAAAGCAATTCAAATATATTTATAATATAAATACAATACAAAGAATTCACACTTTAATACACGAGTTTCACAATTTGAGTTGAATTACTGAAATAAATGAACTTTTCCACGACATTCTAATTTATTGAGATGCACCTGTATATATATATATTAGGGCTGTGCGATAATTCGATAACAATAATTATCGTGATATAATTTTCCTCAATAAAACGATATGAAGAGTTCGATAAATGTTCGATATAATGTTTATGTGCCAAAAGCGGAACGAAACTGCGCCACACAGACCGTTTATCCGCTCGGATCAAAGTTCAAACTGCCGCTTGGCGCGAGCATGGTATTGTGGTAGAAATGTGGGATATTCACACTGAATTTTATTAAAAGAATAATGGTATACTGTATACTTGTAGCATGTATTTGTGATTAAGCTATAGCATGTGTGCATTTGTTTTTAGACTACTGTTTTTCATACAAATAGGCTACCTAAAAAACATATATTTATATTTTTACCATGGCATTGAGGTTCTATATGTGTGGTTTTAACTGTGTTTATCATGATTTAAATGTATAATACTATGGGAGACCAATGCTTAAAGGCACAATATGTAATTTTTCGCCGCTAGAGGGCGTGCATTCAAAACAAACAAAGAATCAAAGGCGTAGTTTGATGACGCCGTGACTGAGTGTGGAATCATGGGAGTTGTGGTCTTCATCCCCACAGCCGATGCAATCCGACGGGACTCGGGCAGAAATCATGTTCATGGATGAGCTAATGATTTATTTATGTAGCAGAATGAAGCAGGGTGAGGCTGAAAGCCGTCGAAGCGAAACGAGGCCACTGAATTCTAAGTGTCCTTTTTTGGAAAGACATCTAAATTTATCTTGAAAAAAGCTTGCAGAAAATATAGATTTTTGAGAATAACCCTTCAATCTTTTGGTTTACTTTGCTGGATATAGCAAATTATGACAAAATAAACAAGATAAATGGTCTATGCTTAATTTCATGAAGTGTGTGATTAATCGCGATTAATCACAGAAAAAGGATGTGATTAATTCGATAAAAAATTTTAATCGATTGACAGCCCTAATATATATGTAAATAATTTCACATTTCTGTTGCTGTCATTACAGTATGTTCATACATTTCGGTGTTTGTCCAAATGTTTGTCCAGATTACTAAAAAGATTAGACTAGATTAGACTAGGGCTAAATATTTAATAATTTTGAAGTTAATAGTCTAATGACGCACTCTCAAATCGCTTGTGTTTTGTGTCTACAGAAAGGGAAGCAATACTAAGTGGTTAACAGTACTTGTCCATGTAAACATTCAACAAATAAACAAATCACCATTGGTAACTGAATACACAAAACTACTCTTTTGGAGTAAACAGTCTGACATGGCAATAAGGCTACAAGAATTGGAAGTACAGCCCTTTCGATTGGTTGTACTGTTGTGCTTCTGGGTGTTCAGCCAACAAATCTATCAAAATACTTTCCAAAAAATTCCAGTAGACCAAAAAAAAATGCATGAGCACACGTTAGATGTGACCTTAAAACTGTACAGCCTATTAAACAGACCTAAATCCTACCTAAATCCTTAATTTCCTTGTTGTCATTCACATCAGATTAAAAATGCAGTCTACTCACTCAAAGCAGTAAATATGCAAAAGATTATGTCCCTTGCATATTCTGCATGCATGAGCTTATGGTAATGTTGTGTTGGTAAGCTAATAAACAAATTAACTGAATATAAGTCATTGCACATGGTAGCAGGTAATCCTGATGTCAAACGGAAGTGTTTCTCACATACTTTATTCTCTGTGCTGAGTGTTACTGTCTATAATCTTTTTAGTGTTCAAGATGGTTCTTACTTTCCCAACAAATGGCAACATGTCTGAATTTGGCTGTTGGATTTAGATCATTGGGAGCATAACATATCATGTTCAAAATGCCCCGACAAACCTTAAGAGTTAACATACAGATCCAACAAAATCCAGTAAGCTTTGTTAAGACATAAGTGTAAATCACAGGTTTATTAGACCAATACAGAGGCAGTGAGTAAAGGCAAAGTCAGAGCAAATGCTTTAGGATACCACTGAAACAACACACACACACACACACACACACAGGGCAACAGCATCCCACTATTATGTTTCATAATGTTTAGTCTACATTGTCTGGGGCCACAGGATCAAACGTATCTGTCTAAAGGCCTGACAAATTCAAGACACTTAGAGAAACAGATAATCTCTGCCCTTCACTGCTTCAACAAATCATCCAATATAAGACCACTTCACACTGTCAACCACTGCTGAAAATAAGCAGACAGACAAAAAGAAAGAAACACAGTGCATCTAATGTATTCACTCAAACATCTGCATGGTGATGTATGGTGAGACATAATAAAAATAAGAACTTTTAGTTAAAGGTAAAAAACGTAGTATAAACACATGAACAGGAGAGGGTTTTTTTTAATGCTCAAGATCAGCCCAATTTCTTCATGGTAAAAGAACTTAAATGAAGTGTCATTTCTTACTATCCTGTTATACTTATTACTACCATGCAAAATAAGATTTTGCTGCAGTTATCGATTGGCATCCTTTAACATTCTGTTGCTGAATTGTTTGCCCCTGTGAAAAAAGTTGCATACTTTAATGTACTTAAGTGTGAATTGAACGTAATGTTTTCAGACACTTAATTTCAGTTAAATGATTTATATATATATATGCGCAAGTACTGTTCTAAATATACTTGTTGTGTACTTAAGATTGGAAGATTTGTAGCAACAGGATAAACAGGGAAAAATGTACAAAAATACATTCTGACTGAATTTGATGCATGCCAAAGGATTTGAACATGCAGGTTCCATATTCAATGGTAGCACATACATAGTGGGATGAGTTGGTTTCAAATTACCAATTTCTGTGGAATGGTAACAATGACGCTTGCAAGCACAACTAATAACATAGAGAACAGAAATAAGCCATTATGACAGAGGAACATAACACAATAAGGACACCAATTGGGTTCAATATCCACCAGCGATTCAGAGGTACTTGGAGGTTAGAGTTTTCCATTATCTACGACACCACTGCTTATTTTTATAGCTTCACGATTTTTAATCACAGATTTTCCATGACTGCAAACAACTCAATGACTGAATGTAACCTCTATGGTGGAGGACCTGCCTAACCTTGCTACAAAATCACTGGGAACCTTCTACTGTCAGCCTCAGCCATTGATTGCTTGCTCGTTTATTCTCAGCACAAGATACCCATATAACTCTGGCACAGTGTTTTTATTTTAAATACATCGTTTCTAAATTAATAAGTAAAATGCCTCTCTAAAAACAAAGCATCAAACACGAGTCACTACCTCATAAAGACTGACCCTGTGACATTAAAATTCATATTGAAGCTGGGAAATTAGAGCTAATCATCTGTGTTCCTGTGTCCTGTCTACACAGCCATGCATGCTTACAGCAGAATATAAATCCAAATGAAATGTTGTAAGGAACTGAGTTGAAGCATTAGACAGTCAGCAGGTGCATGTCAGCCAAATAAACGCTCACAAATGATCACGATAGATTTGACTGCAGTTCATTCCTCAAAGCAACAATCGGTAATATCCCTGAGACATATGGTACACGTCTCTTAAGAGATGAGTGCACACATCAACAGTTTCTCCAGTTTCATTTTCAGCCATTTCTGAAGATAAAGTTCAAGACATACAGTGCTAAACATAACAGCCTGCTGAGAGTAGGCGAAAACTAGACTCTCTAGTATACAGAACCCTTTACAAAACATTCTGAAGAATGTTAGGCATGTTAAAAACACTGATGTTAGAAAACTCAAACAACACTCCTCGAGGAGTGAGAGTCTTGATTGAGCCCATACATGGAAATCCAAAGCGGGGTTTGCCAAGCAGTCATGCAGTAAGAGTCATGACCTCTCTCTTTCTCTCATTGTTATATTCTCTCTTTATATCTCTAAAACAAGCCTTTGTTCACTGTTAATTTTTGCCTGCCTCCTTCTTGCTTGTTAAGTTTGTTTAAAATGTAAAATCAGTCATTGGCAGCAGTCTCCAGCAGCCTTGTCAAACATCTCCTCTGATGAAGAGTGTGAGACGTGAACAACTGGTTTAACAGTGAAGATGGACCTCCTACAGAGATTGTTTTATACTATGCTAGTCTATGCTATACTATACTATACTACAACCTCTGGGCTATGCAAAAATATTGTGAGTACTAAAACTTTATCAATAATAGTGCAGTCTGAAATTTTATTTTGTTCATTAGTTTTCATCTTTCCCTCAATCTGCAGATAATTATGAACTAGGCAACATGCAGACGGATGTCTTTGTTTGTTTGTGTTTTTACAGTTTTTCAACTGCTTACACACATTTTCAAAACTTTGCCTCTTTTTTCAAAGCTTCACACACAAATCCAAGAACTGCACACACAAAATGCACAATGCCTCACATCTCTTGCAAAATGAAGCGCTGCATTCAAAATATCACAAACACATCTCAAAAGCAAACATTTGCAAACACCTTTGCCGTAATATTAATTCCTGTTAGATTTTTGTGTTACATAGAGAATTGTTTGTTGTGTTTTGCAAAAAGTGTTTTATGAATTGAAAACTGAGTCAAAAGCCGAGAATTAAAAAACCGCTAAACATAACTGTCAAACAACTGAGCAACTTTGTAGATAAGAATTCTTTAACTTGTGGACCGAACAAAGTCCTTTATAAAGCATTTATTCTCAGTGATATATCCCTAGTGATATTGTCTATAAACGCTACAAGCAACATAGCAGAGTGAGTGTGTGTGTGTGTGTGTGTGTGTGTGTGTGTGCGTGTGTGTGTGTGTGCGTGCGTGCGAATAATTCTGAAATCTTTTCATGTCTGTCTGCTAACACACCAGATGTTGTTGTGATTAATGAGGAGTGTAGAGAGGTGTTTGTTTTGGAGGTTGCATGCACCTTTGACTCTAGTATGGAGGAAGCTTTCATGACTAAAGTCATTAAATATCAACCACTCCTAAATACCATTTCAGAGATAGGTTATAGAGGCCGATTACTTGTTTTTATATTTGGCAGCTTAGGACACACACACAGGCTGGTTGTAAGAGGGCTTCAACAACTTAGGATGCCCAAAAAGAGGGCTAAACGGCTAGCAAAGTACTGTGCTTTGTCCTCTATCATAGGCAGCCGTCATATATGGCGGAGACGCTGTTATTTATACCCATAACAACTGAGTGATATGCTTTTTGTGTTAAGACCTGTTGCACGCCATTGGTCCATGATTTTGTACATGTATCTAACTGCATCTATAATATTTATGTCCTTGTAAGTTATTTCTCTTAAGTGGACTTAAATAAATTGTTAAAATGTGTGTGTGTGTGTGTGTGTGTGCTGCAGTGGGAAAGGTTCACATCTCCCACGCCACTCCATATTGGGATATAAAAAAGGAAGTACATATTTTGGAAACTCACTCTCTGTGGTCGGGGTAGAGGGCTTCCTGCTCCGCTTATCAGCTGGTGTGGAGACACTGGGATCTGAACACAGACAGATAGAATACAGAGAGTAACACAGAGAACAAAATTAGAATCAAGTTCATGTGACCACCATGAAATCAGTGTATATGCATCCTCTTCAACTTCTACAAACCGAAAAAAAATTCCCAAACTGATTACATCAAGTAATTCTTTTGAGGGTCCATCGCCATTTTATTATTGTCACTTTTTGCTAAGACCAAAACTAAGGCCAAAAAGTCAAACCTGAGGTTAAAAAGTGGAATTTGGCAATTTAAATGGCAGACTCCAAATTAGGAGAAGCTGTATAAGTCGTTTATGCAAGTAACCTACAATGTTAAAGCAATTAAATAAAATCAGCATGCTGCCATTGAAAATAATGATATCTCCAGGTCAAGGTGTCTTTATTTTGTCACTGTTAAGCCGGGCAGATAAGTCTAGAGACATCTGTAAAGACATGTCTTTTAAAATTAGAGACTGATAGATGACTGTAGGTACATGTATTATAAAGCAGGACACAGAGAACTAGTGATGGTTGCAGGGACATGGCCTGTTAAGCAGAACATAGATATCTAGACAAAAATGTAGGGACATGTCCAGTGCGAAATCTGGACAGGAGATCTCTAAACATATGTAAAGACAAGTCCTGGGAACCAGAAGACAGAACGAGATGGAGGAATCTAGAGACAAACACAGGGATACACTAAGATCAGGTAATTGGCTGTCATAAACAGGACAAAAAGATCTGAAATGGATGGATAAACTGGACATGTGTTACATGTAACATGTTGAACATCTCATGTTAAGCAGGACAGAGGTGACTGTAGACAAAGAGCTGAAGAGCCATGTCCTATAGTTGAGACAGACAGATCTAAAGATGATTGTTGGGACATGTCCCATATAGCAGAACAGAAAGTGAGATGACTGTCAGAATATGTTATCCTGGACAAATGGACCTAGAGACGGTTCTCTAAATCAAGCCTCTCTGTTGGGACATGTCTTGTTAAGTTGGATAAACAGATCCAAAGACAGCTCAATACATCCTCTAAAGTGGAACAAAGATACTCAAAACAGTTGTAAAGACACGTCCTGAAAACCAGAACAGAGAGAAAGAGACAACTGTAGAGACACATCCAACAAGAGAGACACAGACATCTAGAGATGCTCATAGGGACATGGCCTGTTAAGATCAACAGAGATCCAGAGATGAGTGTCTTAGTGGGACAAATATATTTAGAGACATATATAAAGACATATTCTGCAAAGTGAAAAAGGGAGATCTTAAGACATGCAAGGGACGTTATGCAGGCTGATCTGGTCTGTAATTACCGGAAGATGCAGAGCTCAGACAAGGACTCAGGGGAAATGGACAAACACACTGCCCAGCCCAAAACAGACTGAAACCATAATACTCTCATAGACCCCAAGGTTTTGAATGAAAAATGTAAAATTGTTTGTGTAAAAAAATGAAAATAACTACATTTTTGACACTTTTGACACATAGGGTTACAGTACACCTCATCTCTCTATAGAGTTTCATAGAGTGGATACAGGAAGAGCATGCTGTAAACTCATTTATTGTGCTGGTATGTAATGAGATACACTCACCATCCACTAGGACCATACAGGAACACTCTGTCTTGCCCTCGTTAGTCTCCGCCCTGCAAACATACTGTCCTTCATCCTCAGGCAGAGCTTTATCAATGCTCAGAGAGCACTTACCACCTGCTCACACACACACATACACACACATTTAATGGTTATTCTTATACAGTTAAAGTAGTCCCTTCATCTAAGACAAAGTTAACCTGTTTTGAAAGTATCTGCTGCATGAGGTCAAAGACGTCTATGGGGCAAATCGCAGATGCTGTTGGTAGTTCCCAAAGCAGAATATCCCTTTAATAGTGCGATAATCCATACATGCATATTTTACAAGTACACAGGTCAACTTCTCTTGGTCACAACACTGATCAGTCAGATGAAGTTTTTGTCAAACACACAGGGTTAGTAATGGTAAAGGGGTCCAAAGCACAGCCCTCAGTCTACACCTACAAACTAATTTTCTCTTCAGATATCTCAAACATCATTACTGATAGCCCTATCACATTATGAAACACCTTGAATAAACACTCATCCAATTACACTCCTGCCATTTTATTGTCATGTGACCACTGTTTAAAGACAATTATGTACAGTTAGTTCTGGTCCTCGTGTCTGATTGGACAAGTGGCGTTCAAGGAGTGTTTGTTTTCAGCCAACCGTTATGTTTCTCAGCAGCAAAGTTAGTCCAGCGTTGGCTTCATTTGGAGCTATTTTAATTACCGATCAAAGTGAACTGTTTGAAACACCAGGTACTCAATATTAACTTCTTGTTTAGAGAGCTGTTGTATAAAATTAATATCACACTGTGATTACCAATGGTCTGCTGATGTTTGAATCACGTACACAAGCATATAAACTATTCGAACCCCTACCTGTTGAAAAAATTAGCATATGCTGGTTAGGTAAGTTTTGAAGTCCTAAGAAACTAGCTCCTGCTCAGGACCAGCTTAGGACCAGCTCAAACCATAAATGTCCCAATGCCAAACTTCATCCACGATAGATGACAACAAATTTGTCCTCTTACTGTACGTAATATCAAATGTGAAATGCAACACTGACCCTCGTTAGCAATGACAATGAATTTGGATGGTTTGATGAGTTTTCCATCAAGCGTCCATGTCACTTTAGCAGGAGACTCAGAGGAAAGTTGGCACTGCAGATGCAAACGTTCCCCATCCAATACCGTCACGTCACTCAGTTTCTGCGTAAAAACGGGCTCTTTTGTTTTTTCTTTTATCCCTCCATCCACACAATTCACATCGTTTTCCTTTCCTCGGGCATCTTTATCGCCTTGGCTTTCTCTGTTCCTGTCCTGGCTTGGTTGTTTTTTCTTGTTGCCTAACACGGATCTGAAGTCAACAGCTTCAGTTTTGTTGGCTTGTGCTTTCACTAAGGATCCGAGACTGGGTTTTGGGCCTTGGCTTCCCTTCTTTCCCAGCACTGCTCTGAAGTCCACCTGCTGTGGAGAGTTGACTTTGCGTTCCTCTTCTGTCTGGGTCTTGGGCTTGATCTGCCGTTGGAGGTTCCCCCTGAAGTCCATCTGCTCGGCCGTGATCTCCTTCAGGTCTTCCTCAGAGACGCTCTTAGTGGTGACCTTGCGGCCGAGCACGGTTCTGAAGTCGATCTGTTCGGCCTCCTGCTGACGGATCTGGTCTTCCCGATGCTCCTTTGTCTCCCCGCACCGTTTGAGAAGCCCACGGGTGGCACAGCCCTCCTCTTCTTCCTGATCCTGACTGCCGTGTTCCCAGAGTTGCTCGGAGTGCGACGCTGCAGCGCTGGGAGTCTCCAGCTGTCCTCCCCTGCCTGCCGCAGTCCTCTCCACCCCTCGGCTGCCACAGGAAGAGTGGAGAAAAAACACAGAGATGGTCAAAGCCCCGGCTAGCTCAGCCCACACTGGAGAGCAGCTTAATCGAGGGGGAGAGTTAGTTCAACACTACAGAGTTGCATCAGAGATGACTTCAGAGACCTTATAGGGAAATGAGACCCGAGTGAGGCCCCTAGACGAACCCACACAACAGCACAGCTGAGAGAGGAAGCATAAACAGAGCGTTTGGTTATAAAGAGAGATTATGTAGATTAAGTGCAGGGCTTGAGGGCTGTAAATATAGCTTTGGGGCAGAGGAGAGCAAGAGTAGAAGGAGAATGTACCGTTTATGAGAATCGTCACCAGATGGCATGGGGTCCTCGCTGACCTGCAGAGCTGCCACTGACCTGCATTCTCCTACTTTATTCCTGAGATCAACAGAAGATTTTTCACCGATAATGTTCATTTATTGTAAACTGTTGAATTGTAAAGTAAATGAGGAACTAAGAAAACACAACCTTTCCTGATATGACAGCACTGTTTCCAAGCATAATTTCATTGCATATGTAGATTAAGTGCAAGGCTTGAGGGCTGTAAATATAGCTTTGGGGCAGAGGAGAGCAAGAGTAGAAGGAGAATGTACCGTTTATGAGAATCATCACCAGATGGCATGGGGTCCTCGCTGACCTGCAGAGCTGCCACTGACCTGCATTCTCCTACTTTATTCCTGAGATCAACAGAAGATTTTTCACCGATAATGTTCATTTATTGTAAACTGTTGAATTGTAAAGTAAATGAGGAACTAAGAAAACACAACCTTTCCTGATATGACAGCACTGTTTCCAAGCATAATTTCATTGCATGTGAACTTAAAAGCATGGATCTCATGAATTTTATTAAAAAAAAAGATATTTTGCATAAATAACACAGCTAGTTTTTTCTCTCTCTATGTGTAATGTGCATTTCTCATTGTAAATGATCTTTATCTAATTCTCATTTCTTACAGTATCTTTACCGATGCAATGTCTTATTATTAAAATCTGAATAAATTTATAGCATTTCAACAAATACTAACATGATGTAGCAATACTTCATAATTGAAATAGTTGTATTTAAAATCATTTTTCTTTTTTTATTGTTATACTATATCATTATTTTTGCATGGTCATTAAATTTGAAGAAGAAAAGAAGTGGTCATAAAAATAATGTCACAATGTAAAACATTTAAGAATACAAACAAACAAACAAACAAACAAATAAATAAATAAATAATTAAAGAAGAAGAAAAGAAGTGGTCATAAAAATAATGTCACAATGTAAAACATTTAAGAATACAAACAAACAAATAAATAAATAAATAAATAAATAACGTTTTTATTTGGGGTAAGGTTTATTTGATACAGTTTGATTTTGGTGCTAAGTGTCAAACATTTAACATCTTTACATAGAATCAACAAAATAAAATCCAAATCCAAACCTTAAAGAATAATCTTAAAAACCTTTTTTAACTTTATTATTTTAAAGTAAAATAAACCATTTCACTTTTGCGTACAAATAAATATGTTACAGTTTTTTTTTAAATGCTTACACACATTTTCAAAACTTTGCCTCTTGTTTTTTCAAACAAAACTTTACACACAAATACAAGAATTGCACACACAAAATGCAAAATGCCTCACATCTCTTTCAAAATGAAGCACTGCACTCAAAATATCACAAAGCAAACATTTGCAAACACCTAATTCCTGTTAGATTTTTGTGTGTTACATAGAGAATTGTGTGTGTTGTGTTTTGCAAAAAGTGTTTTATGAAATTGAAAACGTGAGTCAAAGGCCGAGAATCAGTGTACGGTTTTGCAGATTTGGTGTGTGGTTCTGGCGCTTGAGTGTCAGCTTTCAGAAACTGTGTGACAAGTAAATATTTAGTGTGTAAGCAGTTAAAAAAAAACTGTAAGATCTCAAAGTGAGTCAACATTTCCAAATAACAAATATCTAACTATACATATAATAAATTGAAACTACATGAGCAATAGCTTAGATTTAAAAAAACAAAAACAATTCTTACTTGAGATGAATCTCATAGTTTCCAGCATGATGTGTCTTCACTTTCCTGATGAGCAATGAGACAACGTCTTCCTTCTGTAGGATCTCAAAGTCCCCACCTCCAGATATGACCTGCCCATCCTTCATCCAGAGGAATTCTGGGAAGGGGTCGCCAGCGATCGCACAGGACAGCAGAGCGTGTTGACCCAGGGAGGCGGCAGTGGACTTGGTTTTAGTGATGAACCAGGGCTGAACTCCATCTTGAGGCTCTGTGAGCAACAAACAAAAAAACCACTGGAGATTCACATCCATATTAAACGATTATATCATCATATTTGTAATAAGATCACATTAGTATCTAGTTGAAAATCATACCTACTTTGGTAATGTATTCACTTAAGCAATGTTTCAGTGTGATTTGTACCTTGTACCGTGAGTGAGGCTTCGGTGCGAGCGACTCCGGCTTCATTGCACACCTCACAGGTGTAAGTCCCTGTGTCCTCAGGAAACACTTCCTGTATGAAGAGAGTATACTGACAGCCCTTCCTCTCAAAATGAAAATCCTCAGACTCTTGGATCTCTTTTCCATTATGCAGCCAGACCACCTCAGGGGCAGGATTTCCTACATACAACACACATCACACGTGCAATGATTAAAGGGATAGTTCACCCAAAAATGAAAATGTGATGTTTATCTGCTTACCCCCAGGGCATCCAAGATGTAGGTGACTTTGTTTCTTCAGTAGAACACAAACGAAGATTTTTAACTCTAACCGTAGCAGTCTGTCAGTCATATAATGGCAGTCAATGGGCTCCACGGCTTTGAGAATCGGTTTATGCCAGAAACCGAACAGTATTTATATAATTTTTTACCTCTGATCCACCGCAATGTCTGAGCGCATTCACAACATCCGGTGCGTGACGTCAAATAAATACGGTTGGGAAAAAAATTCCACGTTGTCTGATGATATATAAAAATCGTCTTCCATTGTGATGACCTGTACTTCTAAATATATTTAGATCATCGCAGTGCCAGTGAACACGTCCGCAATCTCTCTACACTGTGTAAATAATGAGTGACATATACGCGCGACAGATCGCTTCCGCACATGCGTCTACTATCATAGATATGTATAGATGCCCTATTCGACCGCTCCAGATACGTTGATGCGTCCACCATTTTGGCACATTAGGGTTAGAAACAATGAATGGAGGTCAGAGGGACAAAATAAAGAATAATCAACAGCACTGAATTGATTTTACTGAAATGATTTACAAACCACAGTGCTGACACTTAAAGCATTGAGTTAAGTTACATTAATAGTGAGGAAAAAACACCTGCTTTAATTTTTCATACGACTTCAGAAAGTTCATATGCTGCTGAGGTCGCATGTTTTTTTTTTTTTGATACATAAAAAGTTAAAAAAGAACAGCATTTATTCGAAATATAATTTTTTTCTAAAAATACAATGCTTTGTTTGTTAACCGGCCGCCAGCAGAAGAACAGTGAATGCCATGAGTGGCTCACTTGAAAACAAAGCCCACTAGACAGTGACCATGTGCTGATTCTGAATGCGTCTCTCACAGACTGACAAAGGAGTATACTTTAAAGGCTTGTGTACTCAACTGTTTGCGAAATGGAGCTTTGTGCTCGTGTATCCTACCTCTCTCATTCGGCACAAATCCAAATATTTCATAATATTTCCATATTTGCGATGTAACGTATCTAAATGCGAAACTATTATTTATTATGTAAATTATAGGCTTTGTACTTCAGTCACATTCCAACGGTGACACAGAGGCGGGCGCGCTGATGTTTGGTTCACTGTATTTTATTTTG